TGAAAAATTTATATATATATATATATATATATATATATATATATATTTATGAGCAACGTTTATTATATTAATATAGTATAAAGTGAATAAAATATAATATATATGATAAATAAATAAAAAATATTTACCTACTTGAATTTTTTTTATTTACATTTATTTTAAAATCGGTCAAAATTAATAATTAATACAGTTAATATTTTATTATATCTTTACGATTTTCTATCTTAATATTAATATATGTTTTTATATTAATTAATGTTAATTGTATAGTTTTAAATTTTATAAATATAGTATTTTAGGTGAAAAATTCATGTCCATGTCCATGGACAAACAAATATTAGTTTAATTTATATAAAAGTTTAGTATAATCTATATGCTTGTTTAATAAGTTATTTTATAATAATTTAATATTAATATAAAATAAAAATAAAAATATTTGATTAGAAAAAATTATATCCATGTCCATTGAAAAAAAAAATACTAATTTGATTTATATAAAAGTTTAGTATAATCTATATGTTTCTTTAACAACTTACTTTATAATAATTTAATATTAATATAAAATAAAAATAAAATGTTAGATTTTATAAAAATTAACTTATTTGTATAATATAAACATATTTTTTAGGTCTAATATGATATTAATGATGATAATTTATTTAAAAACATATTTTGTACTAAAATTTTTAAATTAATATATGGCATAAATTTATATTTTTAATGAACTTATAAGTTTCGTAGTCAATGTATTTTATATTTTAACAATTATAATTTTAATACATGATAACCAATTTGAAATAATAATATTTATTTTAATTATATTAAATTGAAAACTTGCATCATAAATATACAATAATTATTAAATAATTTTTCAAATAATTATAATTATAATTATAATAAAACTGACTCCAATATAATATTCCTCTTTCAATTTTCTTAAGTTATTATTAATAGTTTTATAAACGACTATAATTAGAATAGGCATACCCATATTCATTGAAGTAAATATTTATTATAATGCACGGTTCTCGCCTCTCAAACAATTTCGCCATAAATATGTAACAATTATATAATAATTTTTTTAAATAATCATTTTAATATTGACTCTATCATATATGGCCCTTCTAACTTTAGGAAATAAAATTTCAGCAAAATTAATAAGAGATAACTTTTACAAAATAATTTGTCTATATCCTATTTTTAATTTATAAAAAAATTTATTTCATTTTTCTGTCTATTATACTCTCCTAAAAATGCTTCCCCGACAAATTTACTTAAACATCCCTATATCAATCGGTTTCTCTTCCTCACAAAGATTAGTATATCAATGTAATCTCATAATCTTAACTCAACACTTCCTTACAGCCACTCAAATTGTCTCTCACAATCTCCTATTGGTATGGAAATAAGCTAGATAATCTGTCGATCAAGAGCCAGCAATTTAGCCTTTTTAATGGCTTGACCTACTATATGTTTATTAAAAGGGCCATACTTAGACTTTTTAAAAACTCTTCATTAGGTTTTTAAAAAAGCTTAGGAGAATTGATAGGTTGACTATTGAAAATATAAAATAATATTACATGCAATATATATTAATTTATATTTAATATGCATTTATAACGATATATAAAAAAGATATATAATTATAACTCTATATTTGTAGTTTAATTCTTTTTCAATCAATATAGATCTAAGGATAAAATAGAAAAAGATTGTATATAAAAAATAACAACTTTTTCAAACATAAATAACTAGTCACATATATATATAAGAAAAGCATTATTCTTAGTCTTCATCAACCTTAGGCGATATGAAATATAATTGGAACAACATTAATTAGTTGATGTGAAATGGTATGAAAATTTTGGTGTAGAAAATAACACAGTGACCAAATCCTTACGGTTAGTGATCAAAGACGCACAGAAACAAAGAGCTAGTATAAAGAGACATTACAACAATTGCACATCAATATTTGTCGTTGTCATCATACATCATACAACATGTATCAACATATAACTTACCAAAATCAACTATAGTACAAAGACAACCTTCACATAACTCAACACAATTGGAGTTTCACTAATCTAATCAAACTCATCTTTATTTCATAAGAAGATTATCTATAACTCTCATGAAGATCTTGACAAAATAAAAATCATGTCAATTTCTGGTTCTATCTCAAACCAACGATTTTGTCAATCGGTCATTTCGTAAGTGATGATTGTTGAAACTAAAATTGTCATATCAATTATGAATTATATAATGACACAGGTAATTTACCTGGTAGCTCCTAGTCCAACGTTGTGAGGAAAAATTGTTGCATTATAGACATTATTATGGCCATGAACAGCATCAATCCCATATATCATTGGAATTCCCAATCTAGTTGATAAAGCACCCTTCTGGAAATCATTCACCATGTGAACCCAATCCTCTGCTGAAGCCTTTGCCTTTGGAACACTGCCACCCCCACTTAGCACACTCCCTATGAAAAAATGAAAAAGTAAATTACTTGAAATAAATAAATAAAAACTTGCATAAATTCCAATCACCCACTATCTGTTAAGAAAAACACACAATGAATCACTAGAGTAAGTGTAGTCTAGTGGGGTTGAATATAATATAGAATCTGGTTGGATATAGGTTACTGTTCCGGTCACGGGATGCGCTAGGGTTTTTCCTAGATCAAGCCGCAAAGCCAGAGCATTCGAAAAGTGTAATCTGCCCTCTCAACTCTAGGGTTTAGGGTTTTATGGTACGTCGTTCATGGGCCGCCTGGGTCCCGAGGATCAAGGGATTTTCTTAACCGTCCTATTGGGGGAATATTTTCTCGTATAAGATGGGATTTTTTCCCTGATATCGAAACAACCTTATGGAAGAGGAAAGTCGGATTTTGGCCGAGTATCCCCTGCCGAGCCAACAGGTCGAATTCTAACCGAGTGAGTTCAGCTAAGTCGGCCCACGACCGATTAGCTCTTTAGCGAGAAGTTAGATCGGTAATATGCCGATCCCCCTCTGGACGGAGGGAATGGTGCCGGGCATGCCAGTAATCAGGTTTGGACCGAGTATCCCTGCCCTTAGGCGAAGGATTTGAATTAAAGGGAGGTAATGGGTAGCGATCGCCATACCGCTAACACAAGGTCTAGTCGGTTATTCACCGAGACGTCACACTTGCCTTCCAGCCTCAAGCATGTAAGGCGAAGAGGCTCAATGTCTGGCCATTTAGTCGGTTATTTACCGAGACGTCACACTTGCCTTCCAGCCTCAAGCATGTAAGGCGAAGAGGCTCAATGTCTGGCCATTTAGTCGGTTATTTACCGAGACGTCACACTTGCCTTCCAGCCTCAAGCATGTAAGGCGAAGAGGCTCAATGTCTGGCCATTTAGTCGGTTATTTACCGAGATGGCTCCTTAGCCGGCAAGGTAAAGATGTTATCGGTATTATTCCGATAGAATCGCAAGCATTGCGACTTTCTAGAAGTTGATGGGACGCGTCTGTTCTACTGCTAACGAAGAGACATGCATTTATTACAAAGGCTGCGCCCCAGATCATTAATGCTTTTGAATTTATGATGGTGCCACGTGGCATCCCTCGTGGCTTATGATTGTAAAAGTGGGTCCCCTTCGTAAAGAGGAGTCACAACGTCTCACGCGCGTTGTGACCTTTGGGTACTTCCTCTCACACGCGGCCTTTCACCTCTATAAATAGAGGGGGGGCAAACCCTTTTTTGAGGTTGCTTGCCCTTCTTTTCTTCGCGCGTTTTTCTCTCCGGTGGTGGTTCTTCTTCTCCGTTCTGGATTTACGGCGGTTGACGGTGGTTTTATCCCTGTTTTAGTGGGTGAAGTGGTGTGAGCCTTAGGTACGCGTATTTATCCATTATTCTTAGTGATTTTTCTTGCAAACCTTTTGCCTTAGGTTAATCTAAGTTCATATTTGTTATGGCTGTTGTGGGATATGGGGAGTTGTACAAATGGGTTAAAGATGATGCCTTAAAAAGTGAGTCTTTGATAAATTCGTGGGAAGCTATGGATAGTTTTTGCCGGGACCATGTAGTTTGTAGTGACGGGGAGGAGGTAGTTGTGTGTGAACCTTGCGTTGATAGGGAGCCGGTGTGTCTTAGGTCGTCCTCAACAGAGAAATTCACCTTTTGCTATTCTACCCTCATTTCTAAGATTAGGGTGAGATGGCCCCTTACCGAGTGTGAAAAGGGAGTACTTCAGTCCTTAGGTGTCGCTCCGACCCAATTGCACCCCAATAGCTGGGCCTTTGTGCGAGGTTTCGAAATCTTGTGTTCTGGTCTCGGAATAATCCCGACCTCAGACAAGTTTTTCTATTTCTTTGAAAGTAGGGTTAGTAAACGTACTAGCTGGGTATCCGTTAGTGGGGTTTCGGGTCGTGGTTTGTTGTCCTTATTTCAGTCGTCTTATAAGGATTTCAAAAAATCATATTTCCGAGTACGTAGCTTACCGGGTCACGAAGATGTGTTAGAGGGATTTCCTTTGTATTGGAACCAAAAAACGATAGCATTCGGTGGTCTAGATCCCGAGAAGCTATCCGAGAGCGATCGGGTCGACGTTAAGAAAATTGAAGATTTGAAAACATTTTTCAATACGGGGAAACTCCTAGACCTAGAGAGTAGGCCTCAGGAATTGAAAATTCACATAGGTATACTTGTTATTTTAAGGTTGAATATTCCTTTCTTTGCTTGACATTTTATTCGTATTATGATTTGTTTGTTGATTGGTTATTGCAGCAAAAATGGCTAGTATGAGCAATCGGGAGATGATGAAACTGTGGAAACAGCAACAAGCTTCCAAGGCTGCAGGGAAGGGTGAGTCGGTAACCGAGAAGGTGATGGAAACCGACAGCCCAGTAGGGAAATCGAGAACTGCTGGCGAGAACCCGCAAAAACGTCGCCGCGAAACCGATAAGCCCGTATCGGTAGTTAACTTAGAAACAATTGTGGCCACGGAGACGGATAAGGGCGACACGGAAGTTCAGTCTACTGAGAGGACCGTGAGTGCCTGTCTTGGCGAGAATTGGGAGCCGGTCGACCATGGTGCCGGTCGTAGCCCCTTGCCTTCGTTCTGGGATGAGAAATTCAACCACAGCGCGCACCTGCGCAACACCGACTGGTTGGAGGGTGACCGAGGCGATTTGGAGAAGATGAGCGCCTTTACCATCGCCAAGGGAGTCGAGTCACTCACAAATCGTCTCTCTGCTCTTTCGTTGATCAACGAGGACAAAATTCGCGGCTTAGCGAGGGAGACTAAGTTGCAGGGTAAAAAGATCACCTCCTTGGAGGATGATTTGAACAAGAGCAAAGCCGAGTGCAAGTGGGTGTCTACTGAACGAGACAGGTTATTGGAAGGTCGCCGTGCTTTTGAAGATGAGAAGCAGGCTTGGATCGCCGAGAAGGTAGCACTGGAGAACGAGTTATCCGAGATGCGCCTTGCCCGAGACAAATCAGTCGATGCCGCGACTGTCTTTGAGAACGACTTATCATTGGCGAAGCTGGAGGTCGAAAGGCTCGAAAATGACCTTGAAGCCTCTAAGGTGGATTCTACGAAGAAATTTGTTCAAGGCTCTCGGTAAATAACCGACTAAATGGCCAGACATTGAGCCTCTTCGCCTTACATGCTTGAGGCTGGAAGGCAAGTGTGACGTCTCGGTGAATAACCGACTAGACCTTGTGTTAGCGGTATGGCGATCGCTACCCATTACCTCCCTTTAATTCAAATCCTTCGCCTAAGGGCAGGGATACTCGGTCCAAACCTGATTACTGGCATGCCCGGCACCATTCCCTCCGTCCAGAGGGGGATCGGCATATTACCGATCTAACTTCTCGCTAAAGAGCTAATCGGTCGTGGGCCGACTTAGCTGAACTCACTCGGTTAGAATTCGACCTGTTGGCTCGGCAGGGGATACTCGGCCAAAATCCGACTTTCCTCTTCCATAAGGTTGTTTCGATATCAGGGAAAAAATCCCATCTTATACGAGAAAATATTCCCCCAATAGGACGGTTAAGAAAATCCCTTGATCCTCGGGACCCAGGCGGCCCATGAACGACGTACCATAAAACCCTAAACCCTAGAGTTGAGAGGGCAGATTACACTTTTCGAATGCTCTGGCTTTGCGGCTTGATCTAGGAAAAACCCTAGCGCATCCCGTGACCGGAACAATTATAATTAATAATAAAATATCTCTGCATGTATAATTATTACACTAGTGACTAGTTTATATTTATAACACAAAATATTTAAGGAGGATTTTTAATAATTGGCTTCCTAAAGCATCAAAATAAGATTTTCTATGAGATATTTACTTTCTAAACATCATTTTCTTAATTCTAAGTCAATCAACATGTTTTAATGTTCGTAATATTTTTAGCATCACACATCAATATATATCTTCTATATACATTATCCCATATTAATGCACATAAAAATCAAATCACACTAATCATATATAGCATATTAATGCTTAACGTCTCAACCAATAATAGCATACCAATGTTTGACAATTCATCCTAGTATAACATATCAATGTTCAATAATTTATTCAATGATAATATATCAATGCTTATTCAACATTCCAATCATCCAATTTATAACATATTAATCATACATAGTATATTAATACTAGATAACTTAATTCTAATAGCACATCAATATTTGTCGTTGTCATCATACATCATACAACATGTATCAACATATAACTTACCAAAATCAACTATAGTACAAAGACAACCTTCACATAACTCAACACAATTGGAGTTTCACTAATCTAATCAAACTCATCTTTATTTCATAAGAAGATTATCTATAACTCTCATGATGTATATATGAACTAGTTTAGTACCCTCTTCGGCCAAAGCGACGATACTTTCTCATCTTGGATTTTTCCGCGGACTTGACGATGCGACTGGGAACCATCTTCTTAAGTTTCTTCAACAACATTAATAACCGGTCTTTGATCGCCATGTAAAAGGGGAACTGCAGTAACCTGAATATAGAGACAGGGAAAAACGCAGCACTGTATATCAAACTGGAACTCCACTTGTTATACTCTAACTTCACGGTCAACAAAATGGTGGCACTAAACGACAACATTGCCGCGGTCAACGAAAAGAAGAGCAAACCGAACCCCAGCGTGAGTTTCCTCGGGAGTGACTTGTGGAATTCCCACATCTCAAACGGAGATGTGAGGATCGAGAGGAACATCACCACTGAAGCCAGTGAGCTCGCTAGGGCTACCACGTCCATGATGGTGAAAAAGAGGAACGCCGGAGAACGGATAAATACGGGGAAGCCGTTTCCGTCGGTTCCTCCTGGGACGGTGTAGGCTGCTGCGAACGCTACGGTGGCCACCAACACTGCCACGGTCGAGCATGACTGCGCTGTCTCCTTTATCCACTCTTGTGCTTCCTTTAGCATGCTAGCATGCTCTATCTCGAACTGCTCTCGAGCCGTTAGGTTGTCTTCGTTACAGTGCATCACTAGGTTCGGGGGAATAATCTTCTTCACACGCTGCACATACATGCATTATAGTTATTTTTCATATAGGAACCAATGAAAATTAAAAATAAATAATTATTATCTACGTAGAGCAAGAAATGTAAGTATGATAACGTAACAGAGAAAAATAATAAATGTTTGATGAAATGTTTAATATGCAGTGAGAAAATCATCTATGTACTCAAGTGATGATAATTTTGCAAGAATCTTTATACTAAAAAAACGTGCTTAATTTTTCAAGGGAATTAAGGATGTACGTGGATAACAAGTGGTGCTTACTTCGTACCAACGCAACTCATCTTGCAATTCGTATGCATAGCCAGCTACTTGACCTCCTCTGTAATATTCCATCCTCGCCACTTGGTGCAAGAGAGTGCGGCCTTTATCACTTATGCGACCTGCCAACATTTTCAACGCACCGTAATTCTTTATGACCTGATAAATTTTCTTTTGACGGGTTATCACAGCCACATGCAGCACGTTCTGTTCGTTCTCGCTAACGTGGTTTATAGATTCAGGATATATGTCAATGATTTTTTCAACGATTTCTACTATTCCCGCGCTCGCCGCCAACAATAACGGCGTGAACTCACTGTAAGTACGCGCGGTTTGGTTTGTAGATTGAGTATCTTTCAGTTCATTCAGCTGTTTCTTCCGTGCAGCCACGTTTGCTGGCTTAATAATTGGCAATACCACCACTGTTCGCTGTTTTTCATTACAAGTTCTTTGCCATGAGTTGTCTTTCTGCACTAACATATCTGCTAGATACTCAGCTAACTTATGCTGCTTCTTTTTCTCCCAAACACGACCAACCGCATCCCATTCTGCATGTAAATATATATAAGCACTAGTTACTACACAATGCAATGTGCATGTTTCATTTGTTTGTTAAACCCTTTTTTTCCTCTCATTACTTGTAATTGCAACTGCTGGAGAGAGACAGGGAAAACAATTAGCCATTAACATATACAAATCCAAAACTAAGAGAGAAAAAAAAGTATATATATTAATAGTTTGCACCTCTTGCGAGAAAATTCCATATAGCGTAATTGATCCTAGAAAATCCTGCATGCCATTTTGTATTATTAATAGGAATTTGATATTCGTGTACACTCTACAAATATTTTTCTTGTATAGCTTAAAAAATGCAATTTAATTACTTTCTCCATATAGAGAGTACCTACCTGAGGTAGGAGGCTTTTTATTTTCTTTTCCACTTTCTATATCGTTCCCATTTCTGATGATCGCGACGCTTTCGTCATAATCTTCATACTCGTAATATTGCTCGGGAAGCACTGTCGCTCGTTTAGAGTCAACGGAAATGTATATCATCAATTTCAGACCATGTATTTGGATTAATGAAATTTCACTACATCTTATGAAGTGGATAAGCAATTAAATTATATTTATCGAGGAAGAATTTAAAGTTGCAAGTAGTATAAGAGTATAAGTTATAAATATTTTTAAAATTTTCTCTACTTAAAAATAAAAAGTATTTTCAATAAAAAAACACTCGAAAACTAGAAAGAGTTTTAAAAAAGTTAATACTGAATGTATCAATGTAGAGAAATACACGAATATACGAGAGTTGTGGTCCCCTGGGGGCAACAGCTGCGGAAAACAAACGGCATTTCGGATAGCAGTTGGAGTGCAGTCAATCCCTTTTCATCCTTTGCATCAGCAAGTTTCTCGTCCTTTTTCAGTAACCAAATGGCTACATCTACTCCAAAAAAATAATAATAATAATAATAATAATAAATAATATATATAATGTTCAATAACCAGTATCGAAAATACCACAAATATAAAGCAGGGCAACGATATATTTATCTTATTTTTTCCACAAATATTGGGACAATTCTAGCCAGTCCCTCACCTATGTTATAAATAGTTCGATCATGTTTTGATTTCTTTTAGACCTTATTAACAAGATTTCCTCACATTACTATAAGATCCTTGAAGTAATGTTATTCATTTTGCAGTAAATGATGCGGAGAGACGTACCCAAGTGTTGACCAATGATAGCAATGTGAAGAATGGGTAATTTGTCGGAATCTCTGAGAAAATGCAAGTGAATATCCGCCACAGACTTGTCCATGTGTTGAAGCATCTTAATGTTCCCTTCCTTTGCAGCCATATACAGCGGCGTCTCCCCCAACTCATTCTTCATCTCCACCAACGCCAACTCTTCATCAGTCTCCTCATCCAGCAGCGGCGTCACTTCCCTCTCGCACTTGAGCACCACGTCCACTATTTCCACGTTATCCGTGAACAGCGTGGCGTGGTGGAGAACGGTGCAGCTGCGGGCGTTCTTCGCCCTTAGCGCGCGCCACCTATCCTTCCCCGGCAGCATGTCCAGCAGCTCCGCCAGTAGCCGCGGTTTTCCGGCGTGCGTGGCCACGTGGATGGCGGTGTTCTTGTCCAAGTCCATTGGCTCCAGCAACGCTTTCTTGTCTTGCTCGAAGAATTTCTTGAACGCTCTCCAATCTTCCTTCAATGCTGCTCGTTGAGGTTCTTCCATCTTCCTATCGAACACACGCTCGTTGGTCTCTACGATCTCCATCTGCTTCCCAATTTCTCTCTGCTCTCTAGCTAGCTCTCTCACACACCAACACTCTACGTGATTTTTCAATTTAATTGCTACGCATGCTTCTTTTTATTATATATATATATATATATATATATTCTTTGGCCAAGACATCCATATCACACACGCCTACAGTGTTTGTCTCTTCACTTTTTATCTTTATTTCACGTCTTTATGCTTTATTCTTTGCTTAACCAAATGCGCAATTCACCTGTAGAATTATTAGAAAATTAATATTTGAGATTTGGGATCGTGACTACATGTAAACATATTCTCTATATATATATATATGTATAAGTATTTAAATTTTAAATAATTATTATAACTTTTCACTTTATTCTCTCACGCGAATTTGTCATTTAATTATAGAGTTAAATCCGTAAAAAGCATGAAAGTTACAAATAATCATACAGCTCGTTGGACATCTCTCTTAAAGGGACAGAATGAAGTTGCAGATCGATGCATGATAAATAATAATTGGAGTTAGTTGTGATGATTAATTGGTAGTTAGAGTTCGTTATGCCAGTTGCCACTCTCTCCTAATACTAATACCGTAGTTAATACTTTAAATCTATCAAATCTAACTTCAAAAATTACACTTATTCCAAAAAAATACTACAACTATCTAGTATTAGTATTGATGTAGCCACCAGGCCTCAGCATCGGTCGGTCACGGCCAGTTCCGACCAAAATTCTTAAAATCGTTCGAAATTGATTAAGATAAATTAAGGGCTATCTCCGACCGAAGAACTCAGGTTTTGGTGAGTTCAATCTGTGCGGGTTACAGGTTCATCAGTTGAATTCATCGGTTTGAGAAGTTTTCTCTAGCGTCTCGTGCCGCCCTCCATCGTCACCCTTCGCCGGTCTCTATCACTGCTTTGTTGGGGGGAAATCGCTGAGTTTCAGATCTCTGCATCACCACCCTCATCAACTAGAGCAGGGAACAAGAGACTTCTCAGCGGTGGTGGCCATGACAGGGAAAAGTTGAAGAGAAGAAAATGTTTACGGAGTGAAATAGAAGAAGAAGAAGAAGAAGAAGAAGAAGAAGAAGAAGAAGAAGAAGAAGAAGAAGAAGTAACAGAAGATGAAAGGATGAAGACGAAGAAGATAAATGGTCGGATTTGAGTTTATCGAATGAGAAAATTCCAACACCGAATCTAACCGTTCAAATCCGTTTGAACTCGAAAGTTGCATTCGAAAAAATCTGAAATACCTAAGAATCAATTCGCTTCATCCAATCTGACCGTCGATTTGGTCGGTTTCGGATCAGCTGGAAAATTTTGCCCAGGCCTAAGAGCCACTACTATTGACCAAAGTAAAAAAATATAAATTTATTAGCGAGTAAAATGTAAAAAGCTTTAAAAATATAAATTATATATAAAAAAAAAAACAGAGGAATTAGTACTTTCTCATATTCATCTAGGAAGCTCACGGAATATTTGAGCCTATATAAATTATTAAATTAAAACTTAAATTATTCACAATTTCGTTAGAGTTTTCAAAATTATTGCTTTCAAAATGTAAATAAATGTATACAAAGTAGGTCGTATAATTATTGAACGGTAGCAGATTCTTAGTTAAGATTACAAGAAAAGAAAACTTACTGTGTGTTTGGATGAAGAATTTATAGGATAATTCATTTATTTAAAGAATTTCAAATTTCTTGAGGTGAAATGTTTTGTTTGGATGAAGAATTTACAAAAAATTTGAAATCCAAACATTTGTGAAATTCCTTAAAATAGTATAATTTCAAATTCTCCCAAAAATGGAAGAATTTGAAATTTCTCATATTTGTTTTTCTTATTTCACCTATATATTTTATCTTATCTCTTCATTCTTTTAATTATTGGATATTCAAAAATATTTTTAAAATGATTAAATATTATCTTATATTAATTTTTAAAATTATTAAATATTATCTAATATTAACTTTTAAAATTATTAAATATTTAAAAATGGATTAATATTTATTTTTATAAAATTTAATTTAAAAATCTCAACATATAAATATATTTTTAAAATCAATTTTACTATGATGGAAACAAATTATCATATTCAACCTAATAATTTAAAATTTAAAAAATTTAAATTGACTCATCCAAACAAAATATTTTAAGAATGATAGAAATTGAAATCAAAATAATTCAAATACTAAAAATTTCAAATTTTTTGAATTTGTAAAATTCCTCATCCAAACACACTATTAATGAAATTAATTATATTGTTTTGTGAGTTTCCTGTTTTAATAATCACGAACCAATGGAACAAAACATATAAATGGGGTAAAGCACAACTAAGCACCGGAAAACACTAAAATTGAGAGAGTTTGGTTGTCTTGTGACACGTAGCCCAAATTTAGCTCATCTATGAACAAACATGGCCTTAATTAAATCTTGTGGCCATTCTATGCATGCATATCCTTTCGTTTCACGTGTCTCATGGTTGTTTTGTGGCTTTACACTTTTTTTTTCTTCCAAAGGGATGAACATGTTATTAAATATTTTTGGAATTCCTCTGTTGCCATTCTACGAATCCTTTCATTTCACGTGTTTCATTATCTCGACAATTTTAAGTTTTTAGCTACCTTTAACGAAATCTTTACTTAGAGAAGTTGCCTCGACATTTTGAATTAAACTTATTTAAACTTATTGAAAGTCTTTTATGTTTGGGATGTAAATCGTTCAAATAAGAGGATACACATGAGTTTATATACACACAATTGTCTCTATTGGTTGAGAAATCTTTTAAGTGATGTTTAAAAGCAAAATCGTGAGGCTTTGGACCCAAAACGGACAATATCTCGTTAACATAGAAACTTGTGTGTGTGTAATAACTCCCTGTGCCCCACATTTTCGTACACTTCTTCTGTTGGTCGTTCCCATCATCACCTGTCTTTTTATGATTGGAATATTTTGTAGAAGAAATTCTTGTTCCATCATTGGGGCATGACCACATTTGTTAGAGGCACGAGAAGCCCTGCTGATTCAGAGCGTACCTCATCCACTGTGTCAGTGTGTAAGCGTGAATAAGATATCTCACTTGGATATAGAAATAAATATAAAATATAGTGTAACGTATAAGTAAGAAAATCCATAAACTAAAAATCTTAAGGTTAATGTCAAATTTACTTGTCTAGTTTCTTGGTGTCTTATGGTTCATATTTAACTCTCATATTATTAATAATTGGTGTTAAAATTGATAGTTCAACTAGGTGATCTGTTAAAACACTTAAAAAGGAGATTGTTGGTATGTAAATATAAAAATAAATTCTTTATTATTAATTTTATAAAGTAAAAATTAAAAGATAACATATGTTAAAAAAATGTCTCATGTGTTATAAAAAGATCCGAGATATACCTTTTTTATTTAAAGAAAAAAATCTCTTAAAATATGTTTTAAGTCTCACTTATAATTAGATTGACTCTATCAGTTTATAAGACATTGATAAAATTTCCTTTGATCTTAAAGTTATCTCTTCTTATATCTTAACAATATATCCTTATCTTGGTTAGCAATAACAAAATAAGTGTCTTTTTTTTTGTAATTAATGTTGTGATGAATATTTGATTGTGAATAATTAATATCAACATCTTTAGAGGAATTAGTTAATGCTAAATCAGTATCATAATGACTTGAGAGACTTGATGATTGATGAAATACAAAGTTTTTGTCTAACGTTTCTTCCTCAAGACTTTCAATGTGCATTGTTGCTAAAGGGGCATAAGAGTGGGATGGGAATTGAATGTGGTTGAAAATCACCCTCACCCGTTTTCTCTTTTGTGAGCCCTTAAAAAATGGGATATTGTCTTACTATGACAAATCATATGGAAGCTCCTCAATCCGTTGAATATTTATTGATTCCAGTGCTTGTTTGATCAACTCAATATCCTTCGGTCCCAAGGTGTCAGCACCCTTTGATCTTAAGATCATTTGGAGAGAAGCAATCAATCGGATCATCTGATAATATTTATCTTCAAGAACAAACCGTGCATCATCTAGCTCCATTTGCACGCGTCCTTCACGCCATTGATCAATAATTTGCATCATATTCCTCTCTTCTTCCACTTTCTTGCAAATTTTCATGTACTGCTCTGTAATTCATCAAACTTAGCCGTTTCTTCTCTTATTTGCATGGCGAATTCGTTACACACTTCTCTTAGTAGTTTTCTTTCTTTCTTTTGTTTGTTGTATTTTGTCATGAACTGCTTGGCTGATAACTTGGCTTTAGCAAGTTCATGTGCCAATTTGGTATTTTGAATGACCATCTTTTTTCTGCTTCTTCTTTCCATTACCAACTTGTCCTCTAGGTCATTGATGATTGCTTCAATTTTGTGGTATTCTCTACACTTCCAAAAGACTTTTTCATCCTCAAGATTCTGCAAAAATCGTCCCACTTTTTTCTTAATGGACTTTTGTGCAGCGTGAAGTTTACTGATAGACATTTGAGCTTGAAGAAGTTCTTCTAGTAGAATAGTGACATCGAAGTCACTGCTGTCACCAACAAATTTTCTGTCTTCAAGATGCTTCCTGCTATGGATCATAGTTAACTCGTTGGATTCTTCAACAAGAGTTGGGTTCCATTCTGTTGCAACTTCTTTTGAACTTTTGAGAGATGGCGTAGAAGATTGACCTAGCTGAGGATAAAATTCCGCAAAAACATAGATTAGATATTGTTGTTATTAGAAGGATAAACATAGTGATAATATATTTAAGTTTCATTTCTTTATTTGACTTAAATAGCTCTTTATCCTTGAAAATATGACATAATAATACATTGAAACATAAGAAATTAATTTTCTTATCTTTGATTCCTTTTCTATAGATAAAAAAATACATGATTTTAAATTTTTTTGAGGAATTAAAACAAAATAATTAAATACTAAAAATAAATTGAAGTATTTTTTTTTGTATAATTAAAATAACATCATGAACAGAGTACTTCGTATATTATTAATAATCTACAAATTGATTTTTATTTTGTGAATTCTTATAAAAACATCTTTCAGATTTTAGCGGAAAGTTAATGACAACCTTAGCTAGTTGCAAAAGATTAGACATGGTGATACATATATGTAGATATATAATTGAGGTGACCTTCATAATCCTAGCTACCCTGACTAAAATAGCCAATTGCAGTCTCAAGTAGTTAACACAATATGTACATAAATAATAAACATGTACCTCACTTCTAAGTCCATTTCTTGAACGCAAGACGGTTTTTGGCCTCCTTATCTGATATTTTGTCTCTTTAAAATTTTGTCCATTATTCCCATTAGCTACCTGAAGCAAACATGCACGTATAGACAACCCATATGAGACAACGCATAATTGGAACCCGGAAAATTAACTTAGCTATGACCAAAATCAACATAAAATCAAGTTAAATAAAAATATAGTTCGATTCGATAATGCATTTTTTTGTTATTTAAATGCTGATTGATTCGCAAGAATTTCATGTGTGACTGTAAATCAAGAGACTTGTTTGTTGGGCCTGCCATAGCTAATGACATAACCAAACTTTGAGTTTGGAATTTGGAAACAATAGCACAAGCAGGAGAAAGCATATGTTGAGTTAATACTATTATGAGACGGAAGGATCAAGAGAAATTGGTTTTTCAAAAATAATAAAATACACCAAAAATTCATAAAATCAAAATAAGAAGCCTACGCATAAAAAAGCCAAACAAAATAAAATGTTTAAACTTTAGTTAATCGTTGAAGTTGGAACACAATCATGCGATCGATTCTATTATTAAACTTAGATTTGTTTATGCAACATATTGCGATTGCATGGACATCCTAAGTTGAGGAGGTCATCCATTATGAAAATATAATGTTGATGCAAATAAAATGTCACAAATAAATGAAAATGTGTCATGATGTGAGATACTAATTGTGTTTTTTTTTGTAACTTTTTTTTTCTTCTATCAAATCAACTCGTTTTATGAATAAATATTTAGTTGTGACTTCATGTTTAACATGAAGATTAAATTTTCATCCTTATTTAAAAAACATAATTATTAAGCTATATTACTAATTATATTTTTTATTATAAATATTAGGAACAACAAATTATAACAAAAGATAATGGACAATGCTATGTTTAACACTTTTAAAGATTTGTTAGTATGATTTTATAAAAGAAAATAAGTTTTATATTTATAATTTTATGTTATCAACTAATTTCAAACTACCGTGTATAATAAATTTGTTAACATTTATAATTACTAACTTAAAAATCATTCCAACAATATTTTTTAATAGATATATAATTAGTGCATGACCAGTAAACTCATTTTTTGTTTTATTCACATATAGTGGAGAAATGAGTACATTTAGCGCGGATCAAATACGCATGGTTGATTTTATAGGAGAAAAGGAAAGATAAATAAATCTAGGTCCAACAACACAAATACATAAAAGATCAGTTTTATTCTATTTAGGAATAGCTGTTGTGTAATTAGCATAAATTAAGGTAGCTATTTATGTAATCTTGGTGTATATATATTTGACCTGGGTTAGTAATAAAGGAAAAGAATTACATCGCAAATTCTTCTTTACACACACACACACACACACACACACACATATATATATATATATATATATGAATTAATGTAAAAGTTTAATATGATATTATCGCTTAAAATAAATTGTGACATTTAAAAAATTTAAATGATTTGTGTATTTTAATTATAACTATTTATAATAAAATATAATAGTTAATATTTATTTCTCTCGATCACTGTCACGTCTCCTATGAAACGTATTAAATGATAACTGCTACTTAACTTGTAATTTTACATAACTCAAATTTATTTACGTAAAATTTGGCTGATTAAAATATACGCACTTGAGATCTACCTATCTTTATCTTATGATAATGAAACAGTAATCTGCCAATAGAAAATCCCATAAGTGTCCAATTTCTATGGACTTTGATGTCTTTAACGGCCAACCACAGCCCATATCAATTATAAAAAATTAATTATGGATTGGCGGATATTAAATTAATGTTAGCCCATGAGACTAACATCTAACCAATATGGGATGAAAAACTTCTTATAGTTAATCTATTTTGTTGCTGTTTGTTTTGTGAGCTTTCCTTAAATAGACTTTTGATGTTTGGCCCAATTCCCTTTCTCTCAAGTGTATTTGGATGATTGATTGAATATGGAATGAAGTTCTTTTTTTCAGCTTAATATTTTTTTGTAACTTTGTCTTAACTCGCGGAAAGCCATGCTATAATTAATTACCAATATTCAAGTTTTTCAAAAAATTTAATGACTATTTTAAAAAAAATTACATAATTATTATAATTAAAATTATTTAGTTATCATAAAGTTAAATTTATATTTTAACATTTATAAAATATTTGTGTAAAAGTATTTTGTCTAAAATTTAATTTTTAATGAATTCTTTATTTTATTGTAAAAATTCTTATGAGTCTTTTATATATCTTTTAAAAAAATTGATTTCTAACTTTTAAATTTAAGTTTTTCGTAAATAGGGACCAATCACTTTTATTTTGAACCACAATTTTGAACTTTTTTTAATTGATACAAAATGTAAAATTAATCTCACTAAAATCATTTACATGAAAACTATGCAATTAAATTAATGTATGAATAAAACAGAGTCATAAACATAATTGTATTAAAAAATTTAATTATTTGGTTATTCTTGAAACTCATTTTTCACCATCTTCTACAAAATAAAGAAAATCTAAACCCAATTTGAATTAAAACAGATTTCTCTGGTCAAAACCAAATCTTGATCCAATACTTATGAATTTGAATTTAATTGTGACGCCAATAAAATTTGGAAAGAAAAAATTATTCTTGAATGCCTTTAAAGTGTAAACGAACACCTTAAAAGAGAGATAGTAGTAAAAAAGAGATAAAGAAAAATAAGAAAGTATGAGATGAAGAGTTGCAATTGGGACACTGTATATACCTGAAACTGAAAGATGGAGGAAGGAAAGGACCAATAATATCCAAAAGCAGAACCAGAACCAGCATGAGCTGAGACATCCATAAACCGCAAATTCCACAATCTAGCTGCGAGCTTCCTCGCCGACTCCGAGACCTCACTTTTGTGGACCCTTTCCCTAACGGTGACCGCCGAATTTGGATGTTTCCGGCGACGATGTATTGCCGGGATAAGGGACTGGCCGCCGGAGGAGCTCATTGGGTTGGGAAGGAACGAACGCAACAAAGCGTTTGGATTTCGGAATGTTTCTTTCTGGTGGGTGCATGTTACCCCGCTATATAGTATTTACTATTCCATTTGCATGAAATTTTAATTTTGTCGTTTGCTGTTTGTTTTTATAACGCGACCTGTCAGTTTTTTTGTTGACCAGTGTCATGAAAATATTAATTCACTTTTTTATCCAAGGAAAAAACTTATCCTCTCCCATCCCAATCTATCCTAGTAGTCCATGAAAATATTAATTAATTAAAATAAAAAAAAGTGATAAGTATTTTTTTTAGAGTTTTACCATCTTTTTAGTTTTTATACTCTTTTTTTAATTTTATCTTTAAACATATTATTTTTAATTTTTTCTTCTTCTAATCTCTATCCTTTATTGTTATAGGAAATAAAAGATAAAAGTTATAAAATTATAAAAAATGAAAAAAAAATGTTATGTATACAGATAAAATAAAATATTAAATTTTTTAATTATAAAAAATAAAAGATAAAATTCATAAGTTATAAAGATCAAAAGACAATTAATTTTTAAAAAATAAAGTGTAGTATTTGTGATATTAAAAAAATTAAAAGATTATAATCAATAATATATATTAAATATGTTAATCATTTTTAAGGTTTTCATGTAAAGTATTAATATTTTGTTTAAAAAATTTCTATTCATTCTTATCTCTTTATTATATGAAATATTGTCAACTTTTTAATTAGAAAAATCATTACTCTAGCCTAAAGGGTTGGTGGTTGCGATTTATTTTGTTGTTCTGGACCTACACTGGCTAGCCACCCACACATGAAACAGGCACGTCAAACAAATTTACGGCCAGTCGATGATAAAAACCACTCATATGCCGGAACCTGCGGTTGTAACACCGAGGTTTGTACAATCATTTTCCAAAATAAAATTGTTGGCATTCAGAAAACTTTGTTGTTGCAGTTTATAAATGAACCAAAGGAAAACAACAAAGGAGTTAGCTGTAACGTGAATAATGTGTTTTATTGTGAGATGATAAATAAGTAAAAAATAGTGTAGAAAAAAAATAAAATAGAGAGAAAAAAGTGAATATAAATAAGATGAAAATGGAGAAAAAAAATATAATAAGAAAAAAATTATAATTTTATCCTTTCAAGTTAGCTAAATAATATAAATATATATATATATATATATATGTCACATATTGTGATACAAGATCTTTATTCGAATGAAAGTGAGGTTGTAATCAAATAAAAAAAAAATACATTCTAACAAAGAAAATGACATACAAATAAAGCATATGGCATTTGAATAAAGCATATCCAAAACTGCCATTCAAATACAAGACCCATACATTCGAATACAATAATCAACGATACACATTCGAATAAAACATCCCACAACTTGCAAGCCCATTCGGATGACAAAGAAGTGCACGCAAGATAAAGGTGTAATAAACCTCTTTCTTTGCTATTTCCACTCAACTTTGAGAAGAAATTTCCAAACGCAAGATTCACGTCTGTAAATTTTTTATCTGACACAAGTCATATTAACCAAATGAGTAAACACATTTATACTGTATTATTTCCTCTCAACTGTCGGTATTTCTTTGTTATCTTAGTCCTACCAGACACACCGTAAGAATAATAAGGATACATTTTTCATCACACTTCTAGTAACCTGCTTTTTTATTATATTAAATTTTAATATAAACTATAAAATTAAGAGAGAAAGTTATTATCTAAGAAGTCAGACTTACCAAATTTTGTAAATTCTAATAAATTTTAACTAATAAGATGAAGTGTATTTAAAAGAGTATGTTAGAAAATGTAGTCTTAACATTTCTCTCAATGTGAATTATTAGAGTATCATTCATTAAAACGACAATGCCAACTAGGGGTCAGCAACAACCCGAGACCCAATCTGAAATCGAAAAAACTAAAAGAAAAAAAGGTAAAGGTATCAATTTATGTGGGTTAAAAATGGTTTAACATGGGTAATTTGGTCGAGCTTGGTTTGAGTTTTTGAACACATTGGTACTTGAATCCAACCGTCCAAACAAAATAAAGGTCAGTGTAATTATTATTCAGGACCAAAATAAGAATGTATTGTTGAGTTTATTTTGGCCATATGCAACTCAACCCTAACTTACTAAGTCTATCCCCCCATCAATTCGTTTGTTACTTTTGAAACCTTAGCATTACTTCTAAGAGCTCGAGAGCTTCACTGGTAAATGGAAAAATTTGTTCTCTTATTGACTAAGTGTTGAAAATATGTTAGTAGATTGAATTACTCACATGATATAAGTTTAAGTATGATACTAATGCTTTATAAATTGATCTAACACTAGTGGAAAAAAGGCTTTTAAAATCGGTTATTTTGGACTTTTAAAATCGGTTATAAAAACAACCGATTTTAAAAGTAGACTTTTAAGATCGATTGTTGTTACAACCGATTTTAAAAGTCAAGACTTTTAAGATCGGTTGATATATAACCGATCTTAAAAGTCTTGACTTTTAAAATCGGTTGTAACAACAATCGATCTTAAAAGTCTACTTTTAAAATCGGTTGTATATCCTAAAATTGATATGTAGCTTCCTTGATCAAATAAGAAGTAACAATTTGGTGAAACATATTTAATGTATCAAAAAATACTTCTCACTTCAAGGAATGTGTAATGAAGACAGACGAAGCAAGATTGTGAGAAACCCTCATGTTTTTAAAATAGTCATCTTCATTTGAGCTACTATACAAGAAGCTTCACGATTGGAAAGAAAAAAAACTTTAGAGAAAAATTTTGTACAAATTTTTATTCATTCATTCTTTCTATAAAAACTTATGTTCTTAATTGGTTGTATCATATCTTATTTGTAAGACGAAACAACATCTGTAAAACTTTACCCAAATATAACTATTGTTATAGGGTTAAGCCTGGATAGGCTTGTCTGCAAAAGAATATTTGTTTAAGCCTAGAGAGACTTGTTTGTAAAAGAATACTTGTTTGAGCTTGGAGATACTTGTTTGCAAAAAAATACTTAGTCTTGAAGTCTAAAGAGACTTTGTGTGAAAATAATACTTGGGTAGATTACTTGAAGAGGCAATTTAAAAGAACACTTAGGTTTGAGTCAAAAGTGTCTTTATTGAAAGAATACTTGTATCTTGTATAAGATAGTGGAAGTCAATCTTGTTAGATTGAGAACTAGATGTAATCTCAGTGGTTGAGACAAACCAATATAAAAATACCATGTGTTCCATCTGCCTATTCTTTAACACTCTTTACTATTAGCATTACTACTTCACTACTTGAAAATTAAGTTTTTGATTATCACTATTCAACTCCTTCTTGTAGTGTTTGTCTTTTCTCCATAATTTAGTATCAAAGCTTAGCCTTTGATGGGGTTGAGTATCTAATCATTCTAAAGAAAAAAGATTCATTATGGGAAGTAGTGAAGGTCAATACCTACCAGAAGGAGCTTCTCTTACAAGGCCTCCAACCTTTAATGGAAAAGACTATACATATTGGAAGGATAGAATGGAGATTTTCACAAAATTCACCCAATACCACCTCTAAAAGATTATCACTCGAGGTGATGTAATTGTTACTAAGCTTAAGAGCCAATACACTTAGGATGACTATAACATTTTGCAACTCAACACAAAAGCCAGATACATTATGGCATGCTCTTTGTCTAAAACTAAATACAAAAAGTTCTATAACTACTCAATAACCAAAGAAATATGGAAAACTATCAGGGTAACTAATGAAAGTATTGAGGATGTCAAATTTAGACAAGTTGTCAGTCTTTAGAGATAATATAAGTTATTCTCTATGAAGGAGAATGAGACCATTGATGAAATATTTAGAAGATTTCAAACAATTCTAAATGGGTTAAAATCTTTGGGAACTGAGTTTTCAAAAGCTTAGAATAATCTCAAGATCTTGGATAATCTTCAAAAGGTTTGGGAGCCCAAAGCCACAACAATTTCATAAGTGTGTGACCTGAAGGTTCTTATTCTTGACAAACTTCTTAGAGTTCTACGAGTTCATGAAATTCACTTGAACACAAAGACCATCTTAAAGATAACGAGTCCAATACTTTGAGGAGTGGTGAAACTAGCAAGAAAATAGATAAAGGAAAGGCTTTGAAGGTTGAGTTTGAGACTAGTACCTCAAATGATAATTTTGAGAACTTAACAAATAATGAGATATTTTTCATCTCTAAGAAGTTCAAAGACATGCTGAAAAGGAAAGGAAAGACTAAGAAGCTTCCATAAAAGTTCAAGAAACCTGGTTAGAACGATAACAAGGAGGTTGTCTGCTATTAGTATAAGAAGCTTGGACATATGAAGTGTAAATGTCCTACACTCATGAAGCGATGGACCAATAAAAAAAAGACCAAGAAAAGTTTGATGGTTATTTAGGAAGATCTAAACAACAATAGTAACAATAGTTTAGACAATGAGAAAGCCAACATCTACCTTATAGTAGACGTTGACTTTGAATTAAATGATACAGAGATTTGAGGTAAACTTGGGTCCTAATTATTTTTCATTCGATTTTGATGAGGAAGAGATGTCTTGTGAGATTCTCCTTACAAACTCTCACATGATCTCTCTTGAGTATAAGAAGTTTAAAGAGAGATGCAAGATTTTATAAAATAAGGATAACAAACTCAAGAAAAACATGTTAGAATTTTGAGAACTTAACAAATAATGAGATATTTTTCATCTCTAAGAAGTTCAAAGACATGCTGAAAAGGAAAGGAAAGACTAAGAAGCTTCCATAAAAGTTCAAGAAACCTGGTTAGAACGATAACAAAAGGGTTGTAACTAATGAAAGTATTGAGGATGTCAAATTTAGACAAGTTGTCAGTCTTTAGAGATAATATAAGTTATTCTCTATGAAGGAGAATGAGACCATTGATGAAATATTTAGAAGATTTCAAACAATTCTAAATGGGTTAAAATCTTTGGGAACTGAGTTTTCAAAAGCTTAGAATAATCTCAAGATCTTGGATAATCTTCAAAAGGTTTGGG